TTAGGTGAAACCCAAGGCTCCAGCATATTTAGACCAGAAAAGGGTAGATGAGCTAATCCTACAAATTCTCTATTAGGGGTGAAAGAGGGGTTCCAGAAAAATTTCCTAACATGGCATTTTTAACATCTTCTTAACCTTAATAGTATTCCTGGAATTTTTAAGGCTGACATGAAATAGACTATTAGGGACTGAAGGACTGGCTTACTAAGTGTGGCTCGCCACGCATATGACATAAGTCTTGCATACCACATCTGTATTTTATTCTGTGTATTTTCTGCAGCATGGAAGAAGGTTTCTCTATAGTCGCATGTGACATGATAAGAGGGAGGCTAAGATGATGGTTTTTTTTTTTTTTTTAAGAATGTCCTATATATAAGAGCCCTTTTATCATGTGCAGAAACATCAGGAAAAAAACTCACACAAGACTTACTAGTCCAGTTAATAGACTGTCTTGACTGAAATTGGTTTATCAAAGAGGTGCCTTTCCCACTTTGTTCGTCTTTGACATTGAACCAATTGGACAAATATGTGTTCAAAAGATTTTGACATTTCTGTGATCTTAAAAATGCATGATGGTTCCTGATTTTTTGAGTTTGCACTTGAATATTTATTCAATAAATATTTTTTTTAGATAGTTAAACAAATCAGAAAATTACAAAGCATCCACCGGGCCAGCCCTAAGGGTAGGCAAGAGACTTGTGTCTTGGGTCTCCAAATTTGGACTCAAAATAGGATTCTCAAATATAATTTTGTGTTTTAGATATAAAAAAAAAGGCACAAATATTATAGGCCCAATTGAATATGGGGGCCAAAAAAAAAAACAGAAACATAGTCCACAGATTGAATGAGTTAGCTTTATTATCTATTGAAAAAGATGGTGGATAAATTTGATTATGCAAGCTTCATTTGTGATTTTGCAGTTAAAAATATCAGAAGAGTAATGTTTATGTGATAGTTGGTTCAATTATAAACTGGATATTGCTAAACTATAAAGCAACAAGACCAGATTTTTATTTTTATTTTGAGTATTTGTAATGATTGCTTCCTATCTTAATATATGAAAGTAAATTTTTGTTTATCATTTTAATGATTATATGTGCAAGTAAATTTTTTTGAGGCTACAAACAAATAAAAAAATTATAACTTGTCGATTTATCCATAAACTTTTATTTTTTATTTTTTTTTCAATGTAAGAAGGCCCATTTTCAAACTTTGCCTTAGACCCCTTAAATTTCAGGGCCATCCCTGGCATCCACAGCAACTAAGGCCAACAATTCAATCAGAACATCTTCCATCCACACTTCCATGTTTGCAAATTTTTTAGCCATCCTCGCCAGCCCACGCGCTACCGAATTCGAAACTCTAGGAGAATGAGAGAAGCACCGCCAATTGAAACCATTACACAGCAGGGGAATTCCTTCCAATATGACCAAAAGATGGCAACCCAAAATCATTTATTCAATAAATATTTGAAAAAAAAAAATAGCCTAATGCTTATTTAGTAATCATAGTCATGTTTATACAAGTAATGCAGCAAATATACATACCTTGGTGCCATCTTATGTAGTCCCAACTAATATAAGGGTATAACATTAGGAGAATTCTATCATACATATCCTTTACTATTTGCACCTGTAGTTACATTATTTTTTCTTTAGTTAGTATCAATTTTCGTCTTTAATTATGATATTATTTTCAAAATCTTTGATTATGCTTCATTTGTGTTTAGTTGTGACTTTTATTTTTTATTTTTTATTAATTATGACTCAAAAAGTATAAAATTATATTATTTTTTTCTGTAAACGTATATATAGTACATACCTTTTAATCTTTCCCATTAGACTAATAATGCCTACCAAATCCAGACAGTCATGCTTCTCTACCCTTTGTTTATCCTAATTTAAAACCAATTTTTCGTTATGATACGTTCAACCTCAAGATCCAACCATTGCTTGACCAAATTTAAAAGACAATTCGTACACCAAAAATCAAAACTAACTCATTGGAAAATACTAATAACAAAAACTGATAACAGGTTTTGAAATTTGTTTTTTTTAGTAATTTGTAAAGTCTGAGCCATTTTTTATTAAATTTTTTGCTCTTCTACTCTAATCCCATATGAAAAGTAAAAAAATAAAAAATAAAAAATATATACAAACTAACAGATTTTGTAATTTTTATTTATTTATGTATGCATCATTTAGTTTAAGAAAAGGAAAATACTAATAACCCCAAAAGACTTATCAAAATTTCTATTTTTGATAATTTTTTTTGCAGTCACTAGAATTATTTTTAAGAAAATTGCCAAGTTTTGTTAATTTGTACAACAATTTTTTTTTTTAAAGAAAAAGATAAATTACACTTTAACCTCTTTATGTTTAGCTATTTTTTCGATTCGACTTTTAAAGTTTGTTTTTTTTTTTTTCTTATTTTGACCCTTCATCTTTCATTTTTTTTTAAAAAAAATTATTTCTAAAATTAACTTTTGTTTAAAATTAGAACTGTCACATAATATAAAAATATTTTATTACATAACTCACACTTTTGGGATGTAGGTCATCTCCATAATTCAACTCTTTATATTCCTCCGTACCTATGTTGTGGGTTTCAATCTTCGCACACACAAATGATGTAAAACATTTATCTCACAGACCTCCTAATAAAAATTAGAATAATGCTTGGGACCCCCTTTTGGGGGTCACCCCCTCACTCCCTTTGCCACGTGGCAGGTGGTGATTGGAGGAGCAGGAAAAAAAAGAAAAAGAAAAAGAAAAGGTAACCAATGAGAGAGAGAGGGGGTCAAAGGGGGTGGGGGAAAAAGGGGGGATGAATCATTACTCAAAAAATTATCTATGTAAAAAATCAACTTAATTGAACAATTATAACTGCAAAAACAAGTCATATTTTATTTTACAAAATTGATAAAATTAGAACTGTCACATAATATAAAAATATTTTATTACATAACTCACACTTTTGGGATGTAGGTCATCTCCATAATTCAACTCTTTATATTCCTCCGTACCTATGTTGTGGGTTTCAATCTTCGCACACACAAATGATGTAAAACATTTATCTCACAGACCTCTTAATAAAAATTATCTATGTAAAAAATCAACTTAATTGAACAATTATAACTGCAAAAACAAGTCATATTTTGTTTTACAAAATTGATGATTTAAGTTTACAATCCATGAATCGTTTATTTTATAAAATAAAATGTGATTTGTTCTCGTATTTATAGAGTTGCCAGATAAAATTAATTTTTTTATATGAATAACCTTTCTTGTGAGATTTATGTGATAGACGATTGTGCGTGTCAGAATTCAAATCCACAAGAGAGGTATAGAGGGGTATGGAAATGTATAGAAATGTGCCACTTCTACACTTCTAACACAAACATAAATCTTAATATAGTGGTGTTTTGAAAAGTTGGTAAAAAGTTTACTTTTTATTTTTTTGTGACTTTTTAGCCTTTTTGTGTTAAAAAATTTGGCTTTTTTTGTGCAAAAAGTTAATTAAAAAGTCAAAAAACTAATTTTTTTTGTAAGTTTCAAAATGTGAAATCGTATATTTTTATGTTATGCGACAGACAACTTGACATATTGGTGCCGTTTAGTAGCACTTACGTTTTCAATTTATATTTATAAAAATTTAAAAAGCTCAAATAAAAACTTGTTTGGTAAATTTTTAATTTATAAATCAATGGTATCAGTTTATAAATCTGGCCAAAAAATGTAAACTCAAAAAATGAGTTTACGTTTTGAGTTTTGAGTTTTTTTTTTTTACCATCCAACACTAGCCACCACCTGCTACCATTTTCCTCCACTGTCTTTTGCTACCACCACCCACCTGCCACCCACTCGCCACCACTAACCACCCCTCGCCACCACCACTACTACCACCTACCCGTCACCACCCATCACCCGCCACTACCATCCACCGCCCGTCACCTACTCGCTACCACCACTCACCACCCACCCGCCGCCACCAGCCACCTGCTACCACCAGCCACCAGCTACCTGCCATCCACCCGCCACCACCACCCACCATCCACCACCACCACCACCACCACCACCATCACCATCACCCACCACCACCCACCACCTATCACTTACCACCGCACCACCACCACCATCACCACCCACCACCCACCACCACCCACTCGCTACCATCTACCACCCGCCACCGTCACTCACTCACCCACCACCACCACCACCTACTTGCCACCACCACCCACCCACCACCACTCGCCATCCGCCACCCACCTGCCACCACCACCCACTCGCTACCACCCACCACCCGCCACTGTTACCCACCCACCCACACCACTATCCACTCGCTACCATTTTCCACCGCCATCTTCCGTCACCACCACCCGCCATCACTTTCCACCACTCGTCTCCACCCACCACTCGTCATCACTTGCCATTTCTCACTTTTTTTTATATTTTTAAATTTTTTTAAACATTTTGTCTAAACTAAACGCGTTTGTAGTTTATATTTTTTTAAAAATAAACAAAAACCAATTTATAAAATTTTTGTAAATATAAACTGAAAATGTAAACGTTACCAAACAGACTAATTATGTCTAATTTTAAACAAAAGTTAGTTTTAGAAATAAAGAGTTATTTAAGATGATCTAAATAAGTCTATTTTTATTTTTTACGAAAAATTATGCAAAATGATAGAGAAGTGAAACGACCTAAATAAGAGATGATGTAACCTAAATAATATAAAAAGATAAAAAGATGATCTAAAGTAGATCACTCCAAATAATTCCTAAAATGAAAAAAACTTGAAAGATAAAGAGTTAAAGTAAAAAAATAAAAAATAAAGAAACTTTTAAAAAAATAAAATGACAAAATAAATTGTAGCATAAAGGGCAAAGTACTGTAATTTATCTATAAAAATGGTCAAGCGACGCCGTATTGAAACCTTTTGAAATCGTATCAATTGCGTCAGGATCGGGTTTGAAGAAACGACGACTCTCTTTTTCGAGGCAAGTGTAACGCGTCAAGGTGTATTGTGTTGAGTTGTTGTGACGAGAGAGAGAGAGAGAGAGAGAGAGAGAGAAGTAGAGAGAGTAGAATGGGGGGGCAAGAAGAGGATCCACAGAGGCTGAAGAGGATTGCGGCGGCGGCGTACGACTACGATAACGATTCAAGATGGCCGGAGTACTGGTCCAACATCCTCATCCCTCCTCACATGGCATCACGCTCTGATGTCATCGACCACTACAAGCGCAAGTTCTATCAGCGTTACATCGTATGTCAAACCAATCCCCCCCCTTCTTTTTATTCAATATTCCCTGAATTTTGTTGAAATTGAATGCAACCCCAGTTAATTTCATCTGGCTTTTACTTCTTTCGCTTCTTTGTTCTGAATCTCGATCATTCTCATCTGGGTTTTTAATTCTATCTGTCTACACTTATGCTAATTCATTCTTGCTTGAAATTTCTTGAAAATCGAATGCAATTCCTGTTAATTTCATCTGGGTTTTACTCCTTTTGCTTCTTGGTTCTGATTCTTGATCATTCTCATCTGGGTTTTTAATTCTATCTGTCTACACTGATTCTCGTCTTTTAATTCATTATTGCCTGCATTTTATTGAAAATCGAATGCAGCCCCAGTTAATTTCATTTGGCTCTTAGTTGTTTGACTTTGTGGTTCTGAATCTCGATCAGGCTTTTAGAAGATTATTATGATTATTTGTTTGGGATGGAACTGAAGTTGAGTTTACAAACCCCAAACATGCACCCTTGTCTACACTGTTGCTCATCTATTAAGTCATTCTTGCCTGAGCTTTGTTGAAATTCAATGCAACCCCATAATCTCATCTGGGTTTTAGTTGGTTTGCTTTCTGATTCTAATTCTTGGTCATTCTTATTAGTTATTAGAGGATTATTCTGATTTTTGGATTTTCTTGAATTTAGAATTGTGCCTTGTGGTTTTCATTATGGGTTTTACAATTTTTTGACTTTGATGTTGCCATGGATTTTCTTTTGTTTGGTTTACGATCATTAATAGTTGATATATACAGCAGACATTTGTTTTGCCCATGTTTGTTGGTTTTATTGTCGCGTGGTTAGAACTGTGCATCATTTAATTGGGGTTTGGGGTTTTTGATTCTCGTTGGTAGTATTGAGATAATTTTTTGATGAGCAGGATCCTGATCTTGTTGTCGAGGCAATGGCTTCAAGCAGTTCTTCCCAGTCGGCAAGACCTACACCAACGCCATCATCATCTTCAACTCCAAATGAACAAGTGCGATCACGTAACTCAGGTAGAAAATTTTGGGTTCTGCCAACATTTAAGAAACATAATAAAGAATTTCATGTCACCTTTTAGATGCAGGCAATTTTATTTGCCTTACACAAGCCACATTTGCTGTTTGAATTGAAATTGAACTGAACTCTATGTTGTAGGATCAACTACTAGAACATCATCAACGACTGCAGCTTCAACTCCAACTTCTCTGCGTTGGGATCGACAAACCATTCAATTTTCTATCAATGCCTGGGTACGATTTACATTCAGTTATGTATATAAATGAATGTGCACTTGCATATGCGTATGTCTGAAAGGATTCCTTGACACACTTTACCCTGACATGGAACTAATTGGAAAATATCTGTCGGTTGTCTCTTTATGTGTTACAGTCTTTTGAGGTGTCGCTTTTTTGTTTAGAGCATGAATTCAATGCTATGATTTATTGCTTCCTCCTTTAACTTTGTTTCTTTATGCATTAATAATGATTTGCACTTGTATATGCGTATGTCTAAAAACATTTCTTGACAAACTTAACCCTGACATGGAACTAATTGAAAAATAGCTGTTGGTTGTCTCTTCATGTGTTACAGTGTTTGATTTGTCGCTTTTTTGTTTAGAGCATGAACTAAAAGCTATGATTTCTTGCTTCCTCCTTTAACTTTGTCTCTCTATGTGTTACAGTTAGTGACAGCTCAAAGAATTTAAATCAGTGGTGTCAATCAAAAACATAAATTTCTCAAATCCTAAAAACATTTGAACTTATTATATCAATCACCTATTTCCAATAAATAAACAAATTAATTTAAATTTCTCTAATCATAAATATATATATTGATATTGTCATTTAGATGAAAGAGCTGGAGAGTGATGAGTGAGAGGTTTCCTAACTACCAAGGGTCGTCTCTTACAGGAGTAAAGAGTAGGAAAGAGGCAAATGTAGAGAACTGATAAATCCCAAAGTAAAGAATATAAATTGTATTTTGCATATAACTTCTATGTGGGTTTAAGGGCCCCGACGAAACTTAAAAGTTGACTTTCAATATTATAATTTTTTATATTTTGGCTTCAAATATTTTGAATAAGTTGTTGAAGTGTTTGGTGCAACTTTTTAGATAATATGTGAAAAAGTTGAAGTGTATGTAAATAATCCAAAAAGTAGCTTTTTAAACTGTTAAAACCAAACTTTGTATAGTTTTTTTAAACCTTATGTTTTAGGGGTGCCCGCAATTATAGAAACATTGAGAGGTCTTTGTCTAACGTCCAAAAGCTGAAGAAGTTAAGTTGGAAAAACACCCCATTGGTAAACCAAACCAAGCCTTAAGTCCCATCAAATAGGGTTAGCTATATGAATTTTTTTTCTTCATTCGACTCTATCCAAGGCCATATCGCTAGTCAAATTAAATAGATTCAAATCTCTATTTACTACATTAGCTCACGTCAATCTAGGTCTGTCCCTTCCCCCCAACACTTCTATTTATCATCACTGTATCATATATCTTCACTACTGTCTCTATTGGTCTCTGTTGTATATGACCAAATCATCTTAATCTATTCTCTCTCAACTTGTCTTTCATCAGTATTACTCCTACCAATTCTCGAATATATTCATTCTTAACTTTGTCTTTTCTAGTCTTGCCATACATTCACCTTAAGATTCTCATCTCAGCAACACTCATCTTATCTACATGTTGTTTCTTAGTTGCCCAGCATTCCCATACAATATTGGTGGTCTAATAGTCAGTCTGTAGAACTCCCTTTTTAGTCTAGTGGGTACTGGTTTATCGCACAGTACCCCAGACACACTCCTCCACTAAAGCCATCCCGCGTTAATTCTATGAACCACATCCACTCTAATCTTCCTAGCCATTGTGATAATTGATCCTAAATACTGAAAATGTTCACTCTTAGGTAGTGTTTAGTCCTCAATCTTCACTTCTCCTCTACTTGCATTGTTACTGTTGCTAAAATTATACTTTATATATTCTGTTTTAGTTCTGCTTACTCTAAATCCTTTAGATTCAAGTGCCTCCCTGCAAGTTTCCATCTTAGTGTTAATTCTTTCTCTAGTCTCATCTATTAACACGATATCATCTGCAAAAAGTATATACCATGGCACATCATCATGAATATTTCTCGTCAACTTATTCATAACTAAAGCAAAAAGATAAAGATTTAAGGTTGATCATTGGTGTAACCCCTACACTAATTGGAAATTCACTTATCTCTTCAGCCGATGACCTAATAGTGGTCACCACGCCTTCATACATATCCCTATTCACATCAATATAACATTTTGTTACCCCTTTCTTCTCTAATATCCACCAGATTATATCCCGAGACACTCTATCATATGCTTTCTCAAGATCGATAAAAATCATATGAATGTCTCTTTTCTTTTCTCTATGCTTTTCTATTACTCTTCTCAAAAGATAGATCGCTTCCATTGTTGACCTATTAGGCATAAACCCAAATTGATTCTCTAACACCTCAGTTATATGTCGCAATCGACATTCCATCACTCTCTCCCACCACTTTTATTATATGACACATTATCTTTATTTCTCTATAGTTGCAGTTCTGGACATCTCCTTTATTCTTATAGATTGGTACTAAGATATTCTTCCTCCACTCCTCTGGCATTTTCCTGGTTAACAAAAACTTGCTAAATAACCTAGTCAACCAAGCTGTCCCCTTCTATCCCAAATATTTTCAATCTTCAATAGGGATATCATCCGGTCCTAAAGCTTTATTCGATTTCATCTTCTTAAGTGCAATTTTCATTTCAAAGTTCTTAATCTTACGATAGAATCTGTAGTCTTAGTTTTCCTTGTTATTGCCTAGTCCCCTCCCTTTTGACTTACCTCCATGATCCTCATTTAACTTATGATCAAAATAGTTTTTCCACCTCTCCTTAATCTCTTCATCCTTCACCAACACCTTAAAGTCTTTACTCTTGATGCACTTACAAGTTTGTATATCCTCTTCCTCACCCCATTGGTAGCTTAGAAAAATCTAATATTTATACTAAAAACAATTTGATTAAGCTATATAAGTTGAATGCAATTAGTTGTGGCAAACATATTTCACCAACTTTTTAAAACTTAAATTCTAATAATCCAACTTAAAACTTTTGGCAAACTGAGCCAAAGTTAGTGGGTGTCAGTGGGGTTTCAAAGATATCTTCTGGTAGGGTTAGTTGTGCTAACATCTTCCTAAAACCATAACATTTATATAGTAAGTCAAAATTCTTCTTTTTCAGTGGGTTCAAATGAGACCACTAGCTACACTCTGGCGTTGCTCTTGGTTGCAGTATATCATTACTAAGGGTACACAAAAAAGAAACAGAACTAACAAGCCTTAAAACTTCTCAGCAAAGCCTTATGAACTACACTGATCTTGATTTCTTCTAAACATTGTGTACATTCACAATAATATAGTTTTGAGTTGTACGTCAGTATGACTCGAGAACACTTCACTTTTTTTTTGTATTCCCATCACATTAATTATTTCGTTATTTAATACCCATAACGTTTTCTTATGCTTATTTATCCAGAAGAAGAAGTAGAAGAAAGTATGTCTTTATTTGATTTTTGTTTTGGGGAAAAAAATGTAAAGGTGTTGATTGCAATTTAATGATCCTAAGCAAAACGGTCATCATTTCCAAGTGGTGTGATTAGCTATGTTCATGGCCCTTCCGTTTGATTCATTCTAAGTACTTAGTGATTGTTATATTTAAATAATTTTTGATTTGGGGTTGAAAGTTGTACTCACAACCATAACCACCTAGGAAGCACGGATACGGATACGGGATACGGATACCGATATGATACGATACGGCGATACGACAAAATTTGAAAAACTAAGATACGGGTACGGCGGGGATACGTTCGTAAAAAATATTATTTTAACAATTTTTAGTAATGCAGTATGCATAAAAATAAAACTTAAAGCAAAAGACAACTTGATAAAGAAGAAAGATTCCTACAAAACTAAGAGTCTTCAAGGTCAATAGTTTCAACTTGTTCCCCTTCATCAGTGAATATCACAAGACCTTAGCTAAAGCCAAAGCCAAAAAACCATTCTTAAATAAAAATTTCAGCAAATATACTTTTTTAAGTCATCAATGATAGCCTAGGAAGCACGGATACGAATATGGTGATATGGGGATGTGGATATGGCGATATGTCAAAATTTGAAAAAGTATGATACGGGTACAGCGGAGATACATTCACAATTTTTTTTTTTTTATAATTTTAATAATGTAATATGCATGAAAATAAAACTTAAAGTAAATTAATAAATAAAGAGAGGGATTCCTATTAACCTAAAAGTGCTCAAATATTCATAAAACATCCAAAACTAAAAGTAAAAGCAAATGCAAATGCAAATTAAACATCATCTTTACATGCCAACACCAAAAAAAGAATGAGAGCAGAGAGAAGAAACGTGAGAGAGTGAGAAAGCGAGAGAGAAGTGAGAGAGACAACAAGGATACATCAATTTGACAAATTCTATTACTTAAGCTCTCACTATATTCCTCTTATGAAAGAACTAAACAAAATATTATAAGTAATACGTAACTTCGAGTATCCGATACTTCAAAATTAAGTATCCGATACTTCAAAATTAATAAAAAATTAATTAAGAAGTATCCGATACTTTTAAGAAGTATCCGATACGTATCCGCGAGTATCCGAGGAGTATCGGTATCCGATACGTATCCGATACGGATACGTCACCCTTTTTGAAGTATCCGTGCTTCATAGCTTAACTCTCACTATATTCTTCTTATGAAAGAACTAAACAAAATATTATAAGTAATATGTAACTTCGAGTATCCGATACTTCAAAATTAAGTATCCGATACTTCAAAATTAATAAAAAATTAATTAAGAAGTATCCGATACTTTTAAGAAGTATCCGATATGTATCCGCGAGTATCCGAGGAGTATCGGTATCCGATAAGTATCCGATACGGATACGTCACCCTTTTTGAAGTATCCATGCTTCATAGATAACCACTTTTGGGTATCGTCAGTGGCAAAGCAACCATTGAAATATCTTGAAAGTCCTATTATATCTGCTTTCTCTTCACTTTATCTTTGTTAATACTTTTTTCATGTCTTTTCTTCTTCAGGTATTCATTGTGGCTGTGCTTGCAATAATTCCTCTTGTACCTAGAAATCTTTCAAATAGAGCATACCGGCTTTCCTTTATGGGCACTGCATGTTCTTCTCTGTTTTCCTTGTACTCTCTATATGGGGTAACAGTTCCAGTCCGAGTTATTTTCGATTCTTTACTCATTTTGAGTTACAATGGTAATACGCTTCTTTTTAAATCAACCTATCATCGTTTGCAGAAACCTAGGGCATGGAATTTGCAGGCCGTGCAAGTGTGGTTCCAGTCTGTGATTGCGACCAAGGATTTTGTTTACTTCATATACTGCCTTACCTTTGTCACCTCAAATCTTTACCTCAAATGTTAGTGTAACTTGTCCTCTTGTACTATTTCTTGCATGTCGGCTGTTGCATCGTTGCAAATTGGTTGGATTCTTTTTCCTCACTTGTACATTGATGCTGAAATTTGTTGCAGTTGCCTTAATTCCCATTTTGTGCCGAGCGCTGGAGTATGTGGCCAAGTTTCTGAGACGTAATTTCACCCGTTCCTCCTTGTACAGGTGGGAGATTTCTAATTTATTGTTGAAAGGAATTTATTATTTTTTCTTTTATTCATTCAATTGCTAGGATGGTTAACAATTACCTCTACTTGCTATCTATCTCCAATGGTTTCTGGAGTCTTAGGAGTTTTTGGTATTGGCATTTAAGGGTCAGCTTTGGATTATGTTATAGTGAAGGTTTCAGCTTCAAATCAAAGGGTGACCTGAAAAAAGACTTGGATGTTTTTCTGTTTTGGGTAACAGATCATGAAAAAGCCTAGAGACATGCCATTCATGTTCCAGCTACCTCCAAAAGGCCTCTAGCACCATCCATATCCCAACTGAGATCTTTATTACTTGTCAATTTTACTATGATTTGACTGGTCAAATTTGGCTAGGTGAATCATAGTCCAAGTAATCTTTTATTACGTGATTTGATTTTTTTTCTTTTACTTAATTCCTTATCTATCAGATTTTTTTTTGAAGGAAAGAAATATTTTCTTTTGTTTATTTGGTGCTCATTAGTATTACCATTATGATATTTTTGGCCTTAACTGTGATGGGTCACAATGCATGTGCCTTTTTTTCTTCCTTAGCTTCTTTTGTTCGGTTGGTGTAACCCTTCCCAGGCTCATAACCCCCACCGACCCTTTCCTTCTCCTCTCCATCCTCTCAACACACAGACAAACTGATGCAAGACATTTTCAACAAACTTGCCCTAGGTTTCCTACAACTGGTCTTTGTGGTAGGTTTACTATGGGAATAGATTCTTGCTTAGTTTTAGAAGGTAGAAGACAGATTTTAGGATTTGCATGCGGAAAGAGTTAAAATTGGTTCAAGTTCAAAGTTGCAATTTTTAGAATGTTGAGGCTATTTAAGGGCCTAAATGGTGTGTTTTTTAGAGATGCTAATAGGTGGGCAAAGGAGTTTGAGTTCACAGTTCACACATATTTTGCTATAATTTTGGGGCTGTAAAGTTGACTTTTCTGAGGCTGTGAACAATTAATCGAGAATTGTAACAGGTATTTCATAAAGTGAAGAAGAAGAATTTTAAATTTTAATAAATTGACAATAGAATAGTTACATAAATATTTGTAAGTAGTTCTACTAATTCTAATTAGCTTGAGGGTACCAAGGCAATATCTACCAATGGGAGGCAGACTTACTCTTATCAAGAGCACATTTTTCCAACTTGTCCACATACTTTATGTTTCCATTCGCTACTTTGGCCTCAAAGAGAGAGTGTTGCAAGACTGGTACTTGGTGGCTGACGAGCATCATATAGACTAAGGTTGCACTCCCTCGCTCTTTTTTAAAGTCTCAATAACATTGAACGCCCAGCTTCACAGAGCAGCTCTCTTCCCAGCCCACAGCATAGTGTGGAATCTGGACACCATTTATTTTAGGTTACAAAAGCCCCAGTGGAATTAGGTCTCGGTTGTGTTGTAACGGAAAGTGTGCAGCTCTTCTTTTCAGCTATGGTTTCGGAGGCACTTTTGGTTGATTCTTATGGATGGAGTTTTATTGATATAAAAGATTAAAGTAATATATGGATTATTGGTTTGAATTTCTGTGTGGTGCGCATGCTTAAACATAGAATGTTTGTTGCAATAGATGCTTAAGTATATGTTTGGATGATTAATCCCTCATTTGGGCTTACATTTTATTTTATTGTCATCCTTCAAGATTCCTAAAGACAGACAAATTTTCAGCTGCCTTGAATTATTCTTGGCACAATATCTGTAGGCACTGGCATACCTTTTATCATTTGTATGTTAGAAAACACTTGCAAGATCTGTGTATGGTTGTTGAGCCTGTATGCTGTAGTTTGGCTGGAATTTTGCGGTGTAGATATTTCTATCTTGATATATCTTCCACTCTCATTGTTAGTCCCATATTTGTTACTTTTCTTGGGTTGTTGACAGGAAGTACTTGGAAGAGGCATGTGTGTGGGTAGAATCAAACACGACTACACTCAGCATTCTTTCTTCACAGGCTGAGATCGGACTTGGATTTCTTCTAATCCTTTCTCTGTTCTCGTGAGTAATTCTGCTCATTTACCTTTCTATTCCTGTTATTTCTGAGAACTTCACTCTCTCCCTCCCCTTTTTTTTTAATTCCTTCTCTACATTCGCATCATCATTTGGACATGCAGGTGGCAGCGCAACATAATACAAACATTCATGTACTGGCAGGTTTGTTTTGCTTCTCTCTTGGTCTCCTGAATTTTGAACTTTTGTTGTTTACATTTTTGTGGCAATTTCATAAAAGAGCTCTTAGTAGAGGTGAATGATTACAAAGTAAAATATATATATATATAACGTAAGCTGTTCTCTTCTCTTATTACCTACCCTCAGAACTTGCCTTGCTGCCATCCTTATTTGATTCAGTTTTGTGTGGTTTATATTGAAATGTAGCTGTGTTTTGTGTGCGCGCGCGCCCCTGCACGCGTGTGGAATTTATGTTATATCGGGTTTAGCTGTGGCCCACACTAGGAGCATATCAGGGCTATCTGGTTTAACTCCATCTGGATTTATAGAACGTGTTGATGTCACGAGTTGTTTGTACTTTTTTATGGGCTATATGTTAAGGTCTCGAACGTGCCTACCCCATCAAAGAAGCTTCTCGCGTGTCAAACTGTATACATCTTGTTTCATTGTTGTTCCGGTTTTGGTGTTGTCATGTTTATCAAAACTTCATCGAGACTATTAACCTAACCTGAGTGATATTTTTGCACTGCATGGTTTGATACGTGAGCACACACAAAAGAGTCAAAATTGAACATCATAGACCATTTGATGTTTCAGAATTTATTACACGGATCACATCTCATTATTTAACCTTAATTTTTTTTTTCCTGAAATTCTTTTCTGGCAGCTATTAAAGCTCATGTATCATGCTCCCGTGACTGCTGGTTACCATCAAAGCGTGTGGGCTAAGATTGGGAGGACTGTTAATCCACTGGTTCACCGCTATGCACCATTCTTGAACACTCCAATGTCTGCTGTCCAGAGATGGTGGTTCAGGTAAACAAACCTCAGAGATGAACACGAAGAACAAATATCTAATGGCATCAATGCAAGATTTACCCAAGTTTTGTTTTTTAATGGAAAAATATACTGGTTTATATGACCTAGGACTTGTCTTGACTGGAATTGGTTGATTAGAACTATGCTAAAATAATCTCACACATACGGACAGGTCAATTGAAGAGGTTTCTTTTCTTTTTCACTGTACTGTCATTTGACATTGAATCAGCAGGAGAAATGTATGGATTGAAAGGTTTGGGCCATAGTGGTATTCGAACACTGAATGGTTCTTGGAGGTTTGTTCCAGTAATGAGCAATGTATGTAGAGCATTGATGGGTTTGATGATCATTTATTTATTTTTTTTGTTGTTGTGCTCATGTAAGTATTTCCTATTGCAGCCTTTGATTATGGATAATACTACGTAACTAGGAAAATTCCCTAGAAAAATGCTCTAAGAGATAAGTCGATGGATCACATTAATTATGGGTATTTTCTGCATCTAACTAATTTTAAATGTAAATCATATCATTTTCGGTATAAAAATTCATAGTTACATAGTACATAGGTCATGTTTAATTGTTGAATGAAGTTAGGGATAAAAATTCATAGTTACATAGTACATAGGTCATGTTTAATTATGAAGTTGGACAGAATTATAAGTATGGTGGTATTGAGTTATGAGATTAGGTTGGAGATATAAAATAAATTGTATTTGTTTATGTATTAATATGGTGATATTAGTTGATTGAAATTAAATTTATAAAATTTTGTAAAAGTTCTTATTATATAAAATGTGATTTGCTGTTTTTGTAAAAATGTGGATAATAATGTCTTCATCATTGGATTATGATGAATTCCCCCTCCCCACCCTTTGGGATTGTTAGTTCTATACATTCTTTTCTCAACCAAACAATATTGGTGGAACACAAGCTATTGTTAGCCTAATTCCACCACCGGGGATAACAAACATGGTCTTTAAGGTTTTGAAAAGTACAATCCCTTACTAATTATAATGGAAAATCCCATAACGTTGTGTGGTTGGAAGATTTGGAGAGGCAGAGGGATTTGGAAAGGAAAATGAAAAAAGTGTGTGAAACGTTGTGTGGTATTTTATATTTACATTCACATACCTTTTTCATTTTCCTTTTCAAATTCTTTTTCAAATCCTACAACTAAACACAACATTAATTTTTTTTTTATTAATTTATTAAATAAAAAAACAAGTTTGAGTTTCCAAAAACAAAAATATAAAGGCAAAAACTAAAAACAAAATGTTAAATAAGCCTAAATGAAATTATGCATCTTATTAATGATCTTTTCATTTTGATAACTTCTTGCAGCTAACAAAGTTGTCCTATGTAATGAAAGTCGGAATAACAATTATATAACAAATTCAAAATTATCAATGTATGGTTAAAATTTAATCTATGAGTGAACTCTACAATATACAATCAAATCTAAGTTGCTTATTTATTTTTTCCCTCAACTAAAAATCAATCTAACCCATGTCAGTCCACTCCTTGATTACACAGCCTTGAATTGGTTGTGACATGACTTTTTCCACCAAATTACCTTCGAAAAAATGAGTCTTAGAATACTCATCATACCAAACACCCAGGTTCTGGTAAATTTCACATTGTCCTTTTTCCTCAAATACAAAACATTGGTATCCTTTGCTTCTGATCAAATACCAACTCTTATCTTTGAACTCTTCACTGTTCAAACCCTCCCAATCAAAATCTGTGTTGTTTTTAGTTATCTTTTTCAATCTATAAAACATTGGGATAACTCCACAAATCCTGTTAGCAAGAACAAGCTTATAAATCTCACCTCGGTTCTCCATTACGCAAAACCAACAAGACTTGCTCGAAAATTCATCTGTTGTTGTTTTCACAGTCTCTTGAAACTGCAAATTCAACAAATCAAAAACAAAAACGTGTGAATTTTGATTGAAGAAGTATGCCAAGTGCCCAACAATCACTACACGCAGTATCATTTCAACTCTTCTTGGTAATTGCCATTTAGTACTAACATAGCCACTCCATTTTTCATCAACCCCTACGCGGTTGGTCCATAAATGTACCCAATCAAATGATCCACGATTGAATAAGGCGGCACTGGCAAGGACAACAAGTTGGGGATTACCGCTGTCTGCTATAGTAAACGCGCCATAAGGTTCTGATATATATCGAATTAAGGGTAATTTAATCATCGCCTTCGTGAAAGGATTAAGCAACAAGAAAGGGGAATTGGTATCAGGGTCCACAATTTGTTTGAGCAAATACCTCTTCTTTATGTGCTTCGTTTTAACTAGCAGCAACCATCCTTTTTTCGAATACAAGACAATGGTGTTGCGAAAATCAGGGAGATCAATGGTGTACTTCTCTCCAGTTGAGATATTTATGAAGTTCCTCTTGCTCTGAGATATGTCTTCAGTCATCATGATCCACGGTGGTGATTCACTCCTAGATTGGTGGTGATTGACGGTGTAGGATAAAGATCTGTGGTGCCAATTCTTGCAAACGGAAGCGAATCGGAGATTGGTAGGGAAATCTAGTCTGTCTTTGATCATCCAAACAATAAGAGTTGGCAGATCAGACCATGTATTCTCATTCTTAGTCATCAATTGATGACGCCAAGATCTAGCTTGCTCACTGCAATAAAAATAGTATTGTCATAGACTCAGTTTTTTTTTTTTTTTTTTTTTTTTTTTTTTTGAACATTGAAAACAAAAATAAGTCTATTTTTCATTGCACCTCATTCATGATTTGTTGAGTTTTTGTAATATAACTTTGCATTCAAAGGCAAAAGAGGAGGTTTTGAACTTTGCTAATTGTTAATGCATTGCAATTCACTCACAAGCTTGAACATCTAATTCTAGTGTCAATTATTCTTTTTTTATGTTTTTATAGTTGTAATAGAAAATTCTTACTATAAAAATCATTCACTCTTATAATATGTTCATTCATAGGGGGGAAAAAAAGAGAAAAAAGAAAGTAAATTATACGCACATGTCCTTAGATTTGACAAAAATATAGTTAATCCTACAAATTTGACATAATTATACTAATCTTTCTTTTAGTAAAGTTAAAGTCATCAAAATTAATGCAAATAGTGAGTAGACATAAATATTATTTTTAAAGACACAACAAGATTATTTTTTCATCCATATGACTCACAAATTACCAGTTAAATAGAGTTTAAGTGTTTAATGAATTAAAATTTCAAGAGAGATTAGTGTAATTATGTCAAAAGTGTAGGCTTAACTATATTTTTTTCCAAATCTCAAGAGAATGTTCATAGGGGGGAAAAAAAGAGAAAAAAGAAAGTAAATTATACGCACATGTCCTTAGATTTGACAAAAATATAGTTAATCCTACAAATTTGACATAATTATACTAATTTGAGCTGTGTTCTTTACATATATAATAGAATAGATATTGACATATACGTGCATAGACAGAGAGCTAGGTGAACATTATTTAACTTGAGGGAGATTGAATTGAAGTAACAAAGTCAAGTCCAGATGAATCGAACTGAGAAAATATGAGAGAGAGCTGCTATGGATGATTTGATTAATCTGAGTGTTTTTATATATACTAACTAATTCATGTTAGTGACAGTATGGGATTAGGAAGAATCAAGTTTGGATTTTATTAGGAATTCTAATTCCTACTGTAAAAGGGATTAATTAATGTGTTTGAGAATGATTCTTTTTAGTTATATTGAAAATTATGAATTACTAATAGAATTTTTTATTTTTTTTAGTGATTTTTTTATTTTTTAAAAATTTTAGTGTGTTTGGTTTTTTGAAAACTGAGTATTTTGTTTTTCGTATTTTTTTATTTTTAGTGAATATTTTTTAAATTTTAAGCATTTTTTTTTAAAATTTTTTTAGATACACCTTATTTAGATATATCTAAATAGTAAAATATTTGTGAAAAATATATTTTAAAAAATTAATAAATACACAAAGATATGAAAAAACGTACTGAATTTTCGTATTTTTTTTTTAATATTTTTTGGTATTTAGTGTATTGTTTAAAGATTTTTTTCACAAATATTATAATTTTTAAGTGTATTTATGATAGGTGTGTTTAAAAATTTAAAAAAAAATTGCTTAAATATTAAACAAATTCATTGAAAACATTAAAATACGATAAAAATTTTTTTAGATACACCTTATTTAGATATATCTAAATAGTAAAATATTTGTGAAAAATATATTTTAAAAAATTAATAAATACACAAAGATATGAAAAAACGTACTGAATTTTCGTTTTTTTTTATTTATATTTTTTGGTATTTAGTGTATTGTTTAAATATTTTTTTCACAAATATTATAATTTTTAAGTGTATTTATGATAGGTGTGTTTAAAAATTTAAAAAAAATTGCTTAAAATATTAAACAAATTCATTGAAAACATTAAAATACGATAAATAAAAAAATAAAATTTTTTGAAAACTATTTTGTGAAAAACAGAACCAAACAATGTTTTCATAACGTTTTCTAACGAAGGTAGGATAGAGAGATAAATGGAACCGATTACCAATTTTGTGATCCTATAATTATATATAATAGAGTATTATACTGTTGTCTTTGCGCACTACCAAAGAAGCCTACTCTCTCAAATCTCTGAATACTCGGAAAACTGCAGAATCCTAGTGTTATACAAACTGAGATATCTGTAGAACCCAAAAACTCTTTGTACAATTATGGATTGTAAAGTCCAGTCATTATTTGAAAAATTGGATACACTGAATCCTAGTTTTATACAAACTGCAACCCATAATCATCTTGAAAATTTAGATCTCTTTGTACAATTATGGATTGTGAAGTCCAATCATTATTTGAAAAATTGGATACACCGAATCCTAGTGTTATACAAATTGTAAACGGAAGCGAATCCTAGTGTAGGATAAGGATATGTGGTGCCAATTCTTGCAAACGGAAGCGAATCGTAGATTGGTAGGGAAATCTAGTCTGTCTTTGATCATCCAAACAATAAGAGTTGGCAGATCAGACCATGTATTCTCATTCTTAGTCATCAATTGATGATACCAAGATCTAGTTTGCTCGCTGCAATAAAAATAGTATTGTCATAGACTCATTTTTTTTTTTTTTTGAACATTAAAAACAAAAATAAGTCTAATTTTCATTGCACCTCATTCATAATTTGTTGAGTTTTTGTAATATCACTTCGCATTCAACGGCAAAAGCGGAGGTTATGAAATTTGTTTATTGTTAATGCATTACAATTCACTCACAAGCTTGGACATCTAATTCTAGTGTCAATTATTCTTTTTAGATGTTCTTATAGTTGTAATAGAAAATTCTTACTATAAAAATTATTCACTCTTATAATATGTTCATTCATATGGAAAAAAAAAAAAAAAAAAGAAGAAGAAGAAGAAGAAGAAAAAGAAAGTAAATTACACTCACCTCTCCTCGGATTTGACAAAAATATAGTTAGCCCAACAAGTTTGACATAATTACACTATTTTTTTTTTATAGTAAAGTTAAAGTCATCAAAACTAATGCAGATAGTAGGTAGACATAAATATTCATTTTAAAGACGCAACAAGATTACTTTTTCATCCATGTGACTCACAAATTACCGGTTAAATAGAGTTTAAGTGTTAAAATTAAAATTTCAAGAGAGATTGGTGTAATTATGTCAAAAGTGTAGGCTTAATTATATTTTTTCCAAATCTCAAGAGAATGGAGTATAATTAACCCAAAAAAAAAGAAAAAAAGAGAGGATAAAATTCAAACTATTTTGAGCAGTGTACTTTACATATATAATAGAATAGATATTGACAACAACACACATATACATGCATAGACAGAGAGTTAGATGAATATTATTTACCTTGAGGGGAGATTGAATTGAAGTAACAGAGTTGAGTCCAGACGAATTGAGCTGAGAAAATATATGAGAGAGAGAGCTACTATGGATGATTTGATTAATCTGAGTGTTTTTATATTTACTAATCAATTCATGTTGGTGACCGTTTGGGATTAGGAAGAATCAAGTTTGGATTTTATTAGGAATCCTAATTCCTACTTTAAAAGGGATTAGTTAATGTGTTTGAGAATTATTCTTTTTAATTATATTGAAAATTATGAATTACTAATAGATTTTTTTATTCTTTTTTAGTGATTTTTTTATTTTATTAAAATCATTATGTTTTCATAAAGTTTTCTAATGAACGTAGGATAGAGAGATAAATGGAACCAATTACCAATTTTGTGATCCTATAATTATATATAATAGAGTATTATACTTTTTGTCTTTGCGCACCACCAAAGAACCCTACTCTCTCAATCTCTGAATACTCGGAAAACTGTAGAATCCTAGTGTTATACAAACTGAGATATCTGTAGAACCCAAAGACTCTTTGTACAATTATGGATTGTAAAGTCCAGTCATTATTTGAAAAATTGGATACACTGAATCCTAGTTTTATACAAACTGTAACCCATAATCATCTTGAAAATTAAGATCTCTTTGTACAATTATGGATTGTAAAGTCCAATCATTATTTGAAAAATTGGATACACCGAATCCTAGTGTTATACAAATTGTAATCCAGAAACATCTTGAAATTTTAGATTCAGTAAATTTGAAGGAACCGCCAGTGGATTGATGAACTTATCCAACGTCAACATTCATAATTGCTTAATTTCAAACCATTTTGGTGGCTGGTGGCACTATGAAGGTCTGAATAGCAGCTGACGGTGGGCAACCAAGGCCTATCACAAGAAAATAATTTATTCAGCTTTTGAATTAGACCGACGGAGAGAGAGGGGAGGGAGTACCTTGGTTTTGAACGGTGACTCACACGAGGTAACCATGAGCCAATTGCTTCTTTATGCAAGTAAGAACACCACATAATTCACCTTAGTAAGATTTTTATTTAAGGGATCAAATTATAATTAGAATACGTGCAGTTATAACTAAATCCTTATGTGATGTATAGTCATTTTATATCTCATACAGGTCCATTTCAACACAAGGGTATAAAAAAATAATGAACATAACTTGAGTAAGAAGAGTAACCACGTAAACAATAGCTTCCTCCTCCCTGACATTCGTCTTCTTGATTAACACTATATAAATTCCCACTGCCAGACTAGGAAACAAGTTTTGAAGCAAACCAATTCAAATTCCTAATTGACTCAACGGTGTTTATTTGACAAAAAACTACCCCCATTGATAGACAAACCCGACCCTCTTTCTTGGAGTCCACCTGATGTCATTGGTGTAGTCCTGACAACAACACAACAAAGTACTGCAAGTTTTCAGTTTGTCATCCCTCATGTGGAAAGATGGACAACTGTCACACAAACAGGATCAATGACTCAGTATGGCTATTTAACCTTCAGCAGAGAAAATTATGGAATCACATTCAAATAAGGCACAAACTATATAAAGAAAGAACAAATAAATAATATAACGTCTATAGTAGGACAACAACCAGATATCTAACTACATGTGTTTTGAAAAGTCAGATGCAGAAACACAAGGAAATGCCGTATGATTCATCTTAATTTAAAAAACTTGGACAAATTTAAATACAGATAACTGTCAGGATAGATAAGCGAAGGAACCAATCAGATTCATTCTCAAAAAGAATGATTTGACCTTGGATATACTAATAAGCATCATACTTCAATCCTCTTATTGAAGACTACCCTCCATACACACAAACCTAGACAACCAACAAAATTGATCATTTTAATGACAGTAGTGACCAAACCAGCAGAACTTCCCTCCCCCATCACATTCCTCTTCTTCATCACCTCTACTGTGAATCCACCATAAAAGATTTGTAAGCGAGTTCCCATCATCATACCCATTCAAGTTCCTAATCTTATTCAAAGCACCCTCTTTGTCATAAATCCCTTCCAAGGCATACACAAATCCCTTCCATCCTTCTCCAACCCCTTCCCTTGCCAAGGCTGGCAATGTCCATTCCACAAGCTCTCTCACAAAACCAACGTCAGAGAATAAAACCTCACTTATTGGCGATAATGGTAGTAGCTGAATTCCGAGCCTGCATTCCCTCCAGTCAGGTGGAGCAAACCAAAGACCACTGTCCCTCTTATTAGCCCACAAAACTCCCACCACTCTATTCTCCAATGTAAAATCTTTTGGATACAAAGTATCTTGCTCTCTCACATGCCACCATGTTTGAGCCGAATGAATCTCCATTGCAGAGAGTGTCGATCCAATGGCAACAAGGTGGGTGTCCCCATAAGCTAACCCCATCAACGCCGCTGAATAATACCCGTTCACAGCCTCACTTGTGCTCTCTTGATTTCGCCCATCTGCAAATTCAGTCAGTCCTCCAGCCCAAGAATGCAATTTCCACAAATCAAAGCACCTCAAACGAGTATAATTCGAATTTGCTTGCCTGCCCAAGGTCATAAAATCCGCCATAAGCGTGTATGCTTGAGGCCTATACCTTCTCCCCCACACTGGATCAATCTTTGCAAGCACTGCAATTGCATATAGAAAGTAACCCAGATGATAATGGTGATCATTGTAGATTCCAAACCCGAAATCAGCTCCTGAATCCACAGATCCCTGTTTAGTCACAATCCCACCCCACTTTCCATCATACAAGAAACCATTCGCATCAAAAGTTCCACCCAACCATGGCTCAATTGTACCCTTCAAGAACTTTCGGATAGCTGGGATTACTTCAACATAACACACTTCTTCAGCAATTAATGCCAACCTTGCGGCTCTTGCAATCAATTTCCCATAAAAATAAGACGATGTTGTCGATATTGTCCTTGAATTGAGAGCATCAACACCTCTCCTAAGTGAATCAATAATTTCAGGATATGATTCTTCTTTGACACCTCTAATTGAGTGCCAAGTAACAGAAACAGGGTCAGTTTTCAATACCCATGAATCTCCAACAACACCCACAAGCTCACCATCAATACTTTGGTACTTGAAATCATCTAAAACAGTGATACCGCAATCATTACCCGAAAGAAGCCGAACATGGAGAGGGTGGGCAAGCATGAGCAAATCTCCCCAACCTTTCTTCTCCCATTTGTATTCCAAACAAAATGGCTTAGTAAACACTGCATCGCCCGATACCGGATAACAAGAACTGAACCGATCAAGGATCGATTCGTATCCCGGGTCAGAAACTGGCAAAATCGCAATCCGAATTACGCCAGAAAACCCACCAGAAGTAATGGAAGAAAGGCCATGACTCAAATTAATCGGCGAAGAAGTATAAATAAGCCAAGACTGGTTATTGTTAAGCTTAATAGTGTATTTGGTGAGAGAACTATTAGAATTGAACTCAAGAATGGCATGAATTGTCGATATCGAAACCGCGACGCCCCGGGTAGCAACACAGGTCAAATAAGGGCTTCCCCTGACAAGGAAGAACCTGAGATTAGTAGAAGGAAGATCAAGGGTCAAACTGAGATCACTGAATGAAGAGACAACATGGGTTGACCTTGGGTTGGGGTTATTTGAAGCAGAGATGGTGAGATCGGGGTTGAAAACTTGGTAGAAGAAGGAAGAGTTGGAGAACTGAGATGGGTAGGAGAGAGAAAGGGAAGAGAGAGAGGACTTGATGAGGTAGGGGTGGATGTATTCGGGTTGATCGCCATTTTTTAGGACGAAGTTTTGGAAGAATGAATTGGTGGGCAGAGGGGATTGAAGGAGGGTGGGAGAGAAGAAGAGGGATGGATCGGGAAGGACTGTGGAATGGGTTTCAGGGAAGAGGAAAGGACGATGGGTTGGGAGTCTATGATGGGTTTGTGATAGTAGTGGTGCTGACATGGTGGTTGAGGAAGGAGAGAGGTGGTGGTGGTGGTGGGGGTGGTGGGGGTTTTATAGGGTTTGTGAGGGTTTTTTTTTTTTGAAAGTTTGGGGTGATTGGGTTTGTTATTGTTCAATCTTTGCCTCCCCTCTGTTGGGTTTTTTTTTTTTTTTTTTGAAAGTCTGGTGTGATTTGGATATTGAGGAACAGGAAGTGAGAGGAAATGGAGGGAGTTGACTACGTTTATGGAGATCTCAGACTTGAATTTCAATAATCTTTAGTATTTATTTTTAAAAAAAATATTTTCAAAAAATTTAATAACTTGTAGCCTATATTTTTAAAGAGTCAGTCTCCTCTCCGGTTCGATCTCTCAGACTTGAGTGTGTTATTGGACCTGTGGGGCTTATCATAAGTTCTATTTTGATAATTCGAATCGTTTAATATGTAAAAATCGGTGAGTACTTTATTCTTATAAAAAAAATATTGATTGGATATCGATAAGTACTTGATCGGATCAAATTTCTGTCAACGATAAATATAATTTTTAAATTGAAAAAAATCTAATTCGATCAAGTAACTATCGATATCCGATTAAAGTAATTTTTTATAAAGATAAAATACTCGACAAAATCTATACATTGAACGATTTAAATTATCAAAATAAAACTTATGATGGACTTCACGAACCGCACAGTACTGTCCAATCCACTATGAACTGAAGACATGCCCAGTGGTAGAGGGACTTGGGGCTTAGGGTAATAGTGCCCCTCCTAATACTAATACATAGCCCTTCCAAATATGTCAAACCCATTGACACACGCACCCAGGTTTATTTGTTTTTTTTTTTTTTATACGAATCCCAATCAAATATTTACACATAATTTTTTTTTTTTTTTTGATAGTACACATAACTTCAATTACAGTAAGGTTAAAACTTTAAAATTTTAAAAATATATAAATTTTTTTATTTATTTATTTATTCACAGTACTTGTTAATTGTTAAGTATTTTCGTATTTTCTTTATCTCCTTTTGTTGCTTTGTAATTTGCCACTCGCGATTCATCAAATTAGGATCATACAACACAGATTTGGGACCACACTACAACCTTAGTATCTTCTCTTTATTGTTTACAGTTAACTTTATTTATTTATTTTTTACTTTTAAATAAAAATTATGAGTATTAATTAATAGTTATTTGTTAAGTTTTGATTTGTAAAATTTTTTGATTTGTTATTATTTATGTTAAAATAAGAGATTTTGATATGCTAAAATTATTAATCTTAATTGGTGGTGATTTATATTAAAATTAAGGATTTTGGTTTATTGTTATTTGTGCTAAAATTAGGGTTTTGATTTGTGCTAAAATTAAAAATATTAATTTGCAGTGATTAATATTTAAATTATGAATTTTGATTTGTTATAATTTGTGCTAAAATTACAATTTTTGATTTGTTGTGATTTATGCTAATTTAAATTTTTTTGATTTGTGTTAACATTGGAGATTTTGATTTGTGGGGGTTTGTGATTTTGATTATGAATGTTTATTTTGATTTTTAATTTTTTCAAACAATCATGGAGAAATATTTTAAAAGAAAATTAAAGTTGGAATCATCTCTTCCTCAAGAAGAAAATGATAATTATTCTTCCGCAAAACAAAGTTGCATAGAAATCAACTTAATAGACCTTCCTGCAGATCCAGGACTACGGCCTCGGATTATGGACTATAATGCTAATGATCGAGACCGAATTCGTAAGGCATATCTACAAAAGGTCCTTGTCAACCTCGTGATCATAATTTTCCACAAAAATCATTTGGACAAATACTTCGGCGATTTAATCAGGCTTGGTTTAGTGAATTTCCTAATTGGTTGGAGTGTAGCGTAGCAAAAGATACAGCATTTTGTTTATGTTGTTATCTTTTCAAACCCGATATTGGAGATCAAGCTGGTGGTGATTCTTTTGTTGGTGAGGGTTTCTCAAATTGGAAGAAAAAAAAAAATTCAGACTCATGTTGAAGGTCCTAATAGTACTCATAATCAAGCTTCGAGTAAATGTCAATACTTGTTAAACCAAAACTAACATATTCAAACGATTTTTTTTCAAACAATTTGATCAAACTCGAATTGAGTATCGAACCCGTTTGAATTCATCGGTTGATTGTGTCAAATTTCTTCTAAGACAAGAACTTGCGTTTTGTGGGCATGATGAATTTGAAAATTCAAGTAACCAAGGAAATTTTCTTAAACTTCTTAAGTTTCTTGCTGATCATAATGAAGATGTCAAAGTGGTTGCATTGAGCAATACTCCACAAAATCTCAAGTTGACATCTCTTGATATTCAAAAAGACTTTGTAAATGTGGCCGCATTTGAAACTATCAATGTGATTATTAAAGATTTTGGTGATGCACTTTTTTATATTTTGGTTGATGAAGCCCGTGACATATCAATCAATGAGCAAATGGCAGTTGTAATACGATATGTTGACAAAAAAAGGCCAAGTAATTGAGTGTTTTTTGGGTACTGAGCATGTTGCTAATACGAATGCTCTCTCACTCAAACAAGCTGTGGAAAATTTATTCTCTAGACTTGGATTGAGTATTTCCATATTGTGAGGTCAAGGATATGATGGGGCTAGTAATATGCAAGGTGAGTTCAATGGTCTTAAAACACTTATACTGAAAGAGAATCCTTGTGCATATTAAGTTCATTGTTTTGCTGATCGATTACAATTGGCACTTATACCCGTGGCAAAGAATCATAATCAAATTGTTTTACTTTTCACTTTGGTTTCTAATGTGGTGAATATTGTTGGAGCATCATGTAAATATCGAGATATTGTTAGGGAGAAGCAAGCTGCAAAAGTTGTTGAGGCACTTAATACTGGAGAACTATCTAGTGGGCAAGGCTTAAATCAAGAAACTAATCTTAAACGTACTGGTGATACACGTTGGGGTTCACACTATGGTACTTTAGTTAGCTTGGCTAGTATGTTTTCAACAGTGATTGATGTGCTTGAAATGATTTCGGAGGATGGTTCAAATTCAGAACAACGAGCAGAAGCAAATGTGTTGTTGGATTCAATTCAATCATTTGAGTTTGTATTCAACCTTCATTTGATGAAAATTATATTGGCTATTACAAGCGAGTTATCGCAAGCACTACAAAGGAAAGATCAAGATATTGTTAATGCTATAAATTTAGTTCAAAATTCTAAAGTACGGTTCCAAAAGATGAGGGAGAGTGAGTGGACATCCTTACTTGATGATATTTTGTCTTTTTGTGAAAAACATGAAATTGATGTTCCCCAAATGGAAGATATGTTTGTAGCTCGATGGAGAAAAAGGCGCAATGCTTAAGAAATTACAAACTTACATCACTATCGTGCTGAGTTATTCTACACTGTTTTGCATATGCAAATTCAAGAACTAAATGTTCGTTTCACTGAGTCGTCGTTACGTTTTATGGCATGTTTGAATCCATCTAACTCTTTCTCTAGTTTTGATAGGAAAAAGTTAATTCATCTTGCTGAATTTTATCCGAAAGAATTTTATTCAGGGGAGCTCATGGTACTTAATGATCAACTTGACACATATATTATCGACATGCTATCCAGTAATGAGTTCTCAATGTTGAATGGAATTGCCGATCTTGTTAAGAAAATAGTGAAAACTGGAAGAGATAAAGTATATCCATTGGTGTATTTGCTCTTGACTTTAGCATTTAGTCTTACCTATTGCAACTGCTATTGTTGAGAGGGTATTTTCAACTATGAATATTGTGAAGAATCGGTTGTGGAACCAAATGAGTGATGAATGGATGAATGATAGCTTAGTTGTCTATATTGAAAGAAATATTTTTGATGGCATTGACAATGATACTATTATGGAAAGATTTCAAAAGATGAAAACTCGTCGGGGTCAATTATAAAAATTTAAAATTAAAAACTATTTGTAATGAATATTAATTTTTAATGTTTAACATTAACTCGAAAAGTTATTATTATGTCATTGTTATTGATTGGGGAAGAAAAATTTTGAGATGGTAATTAATGGGTGCCCCTGTATTAAATTCCTGACTCCGCCACTGGACATGCCTATCCCATTTTTATAAAGTGGACTCGAAATTGACATCTTAAATTTTTTAAGATTGTTTAGGCTTCTTTTGGAAAGTAAAAAAAAAAGTCAATTTATTAATTTATTTAGGTTATATCACCTCTCTAATTTTTACATATTTTCTTGTAATAAATCAAAAAATCAGTTTATAAATCACTTCCCAATTAAAGTCTCTAAACAAAAAAATAATAATAATAAAATAAAACTGAAAGTTTGCCTCTTTTTTACTTAAACAAAAAATAAATCAAAATAAAATATTTTGTTAACATGTGTCCTATTTTAAGGCACATGTTAAGAAATTTTTTAAAAAAATTACCCTGCATGTAAAAATGTGCATACTAAACAATGTATAATTTTTTAAAAATTTTCTTAACATACACCTTAGACATTATTACTGACATGTGTTATTTTATTGATTAATGGGCTCATTACTAATGTCTATTTTGAATAATAATGGAAAATATAAATAATATATATATATATATATCATAACAATAGACCTAGAGACTTAACTTGGAAGATTTGTGGAAGAAAGTTAATGGGGCATGAGGAATAAGGTTGATTGGAAGTGAAGTTTTGATGAATTTTAGGTCAACCGTTTTGGAATATTGTGGATGATTGTGTAGGTGTGAAGGAAAGGATACGTAGAATGCATGGGAAACGAGAAAGGTCTTCAAATCTAAAATTTGAGAATTCAGCGTGTGTGACAATGTCTTGGTGTTTAAAATCGTGTTATGTTTATATAAAGAAAGGAAAACAAAATACAGAGAAAATATTATAGGTGATTATTGTTTGATATTGTGCGTGTTTGGAAAGTGGCTATTATTTAGATTTTTTTATTTTTTTGACTTTTTAAGTAGAGTATTTTAGTTTTTGTATTTGAGAAGATATGATGGATTTTTATTTGAATTATTTTATTGAAAAATGTGTTTGAAATGATGGGAGGCTGAAATGACAAATTTGTCTCTAATCTCACTTTTTTCAAAATTGGTCTAAAGGGGTAAAATTGTCATTTCCTATCTATGGGACTAGGTTGTCTACCTACTGTCAACGTGACAATGTAGGCTGCTCGCTGCCTATTGCCAACTGCTTTTTTTTTTTTTAAAAAAAAAAATATATAAATAATTGATTTAAGTACTGTTGAGGCTATTTAGTTTTTTCTTTGAATGAGGCTAAAATAGCCTCTTACTTTACTTCCCAAACACCGCCATTATATTTAAAATTATAATAGTCATTGTGAGAGAGCTAATTTGGAATGTGACTATTTTAATTTTTTTAATTTTTTATGAAAACGCATTTAAAAAATAGAAAGATTAATGTGATCAAGTGTTTTAATTTTTTTATTATTTTAATCAAAAAGTTAACATTCTAAACAATCTCTGTGTTTGGTTAGGAGATTTAAGGAGGAATTTGAAAATTAAAATGAAAAAAGTAAGTAAAATATGAATAAAATATATTTACATTTCACTTAATTTTACACACATTTTCTTTTTCTTTTTCTAAATTTCTCCCTAAATCTCCTAATCAAATATAGCGTAAAGGCAAGAAAAAACACAATAATTTCATTGAACTTCATTTTTAAGCTGATTTGCAAAAACACAATAATTTCATTAAACTTCATTTTTAAGCTGATATGCTTTTATATGACTGAAGATGGGTAGTATTGGCTCTAATTGTGAGTATACGCACAAATTTCGGGTTCCACAATGAATACGTGAAAAAGAAGTATAAATGTTCAATTAATTAATTAAAATAAAATAGGTATAGTCATGTATAATCTATTCTATTACAAATCATCAAATTATCTGTTTCAATTGTCAAAATCAACGCCTACAGAAATTTGTTATCGTACTGAAGAAATTTAAACTCTTTGGACATGTTTCTCCGGCTGACTCATTGAGGGGATTGAATTCATTGAGCAGATTGAATTGTTAGTGAGGTTATTTTATTTATGGCTTGTTTGGTAAGCGTTATATTCTGTTGGACTATTAGTCTAATGGGACTGTTAATGATGTATGGTAGTGGGATTAGCTTTTCCCAAAGCATAGGATTGGAAAAATAATTAGGGGATTGAAAAAATTAGTGTATTTTTTTTTTTTTAACCCAAGGGTAGCCTATTATTTGTAAAAAAAAAAAATTATATTAGTTTTAGAATTTTTTTTAAATATAGAAATATATATATTTTATTTTATATAAAAATAATTTAATAATCCCATCACTAATTGAGAGGGAAGTTTTTATGTGCACTAGGGCCGAGCCAGGCCAAGGCACAGTAATGGGCCGTTCGGTAGGCCGCGGTAAAAAAGGCCCAGTGAAAGGACCTTGCGTTTAGCTCGGCCTAATTGTGGTTGTGGTTACCACGGACAGTATGGTAATATTTAGCTTGGTCATGGTATTCAGAACTGAAGTGTTTGGGGCTTCTTGTGATGGACCTTATTCTCGTTAGCTCGGTCAAAGCTTACTGCGGTTAGCTCGGTCTCAGCGGACCAAACCGAGGTACGAGCAATGAAGGGAAGTACCGAGCTAGTTAGAGCTCGGTCATTTCTGCCGTTTAAGCATGGCTATTTTAGCTCGGTCGTTTTGTCATACTACCGAGGTAAAACCATCTCACTTGGTTTAAACAGTGAGGGGAGTGTTGAAGGATAATTATCTTTCAGGAGTGTGATTCCTAGGAGGACTCTATATGGAGGAATAAGAGTCCTACTAGGATTGTGTCACACAGAACCTATAAAAGCTCACAACATCACCTGCGTAGAGGTAACACAACTTTGATTCTTGAATACACAGAGTTTTTGTCTATTTGTCTATTTTGCTGACTTAGGCATCGGAGAGGTATTCGGCACACACCCGCTGGCTAGCTTACGTTTGTGTTTTCAGGGAGTAAAGCGACGACGTTTGGAGAAGCGCAGACTTGGTCAACAGGATTATACAAGAATAATTATTTCGTGCTCATACAATTGGCGTCGTCTGTGGGAATTCCAGAACAAACAAAACCTCTTGATCAAGTTTTTCCTCTCTAATTAGAAGCAATGGCGCACAATGAAAATTTGCCGCAATCAGCTATCGACGGACAAACCCCAGAGGGGGGTGAAAGGCGCGAAGGTTTGCCATTGCGGATTTAAAACCCCAGCAACAGAACCCCCGGAGGGATGGAAGGGGGAGACGGGCTAACAGCCCTCGTCGCTCTCAAAGTCCTGAAAGACAAAGGCGGAGGATAGACCCTCGAGTTCTGGAAGATCGCGTAAAAGAGCAGGAAGAGTTGATATGAAGGATGGCGGCAGACACGGAGTCAATGAAGCGCCAGATAAAAGGAAATGAGTGGTGACAGGAAAGGGGCGCAAAAGCAACACGCCCCCTCGCCACTTAGAAGATCGTGGTAGGCATACCACACCATCGCAAGCAGAGAGTAGGAACCTGAGAACAGGCGACACTCGATTGAGGACTTATAGGACACGTTACTCCAGGTCTGAGAGAACGAGAACTGAGAGGTCATATACTGAGGGAAGCACCTATCGGCCCTCGCACACGCACCAGATGTCATCTAGGCACACGAAGTTGCCCAGAACATCAGACTTGAGAACTGTGCTTGAAGAAAGGGCACGATGGAAGGAGGATATCAGGGCACGCGACCCGTGCAGAGTCTCAGCCCTTCAGCGGTTGGCCCCTCGGACGCATGGGAGCGTCGAGGTAGGAATGTCAATATCGCGTGTCATGACCCGAACCCGTCCCCTTGGGTTAAGGACATAACCGGCCAATAATCATAAAATTACCTACGTCCTCAAACCAAAATGACGTATTTTAACCGAGTTAATGGGGGCCAAACGGAAGCAACTTAAAACTTTATCCTTAGAGCTGTGCTTACATGGCACATTAAAACAAACCATACACATATACATTAATAACTCACAATAGATACACAGTACCATAAAGTTCTGTACAGACAGGATCATCTAGAATTAAGTCAACCCATGTAAACTATATACAGACATATACAAATACTTCGCCAACATAACAACTTAGAACAAAATGGCAAAAGGCGAAGGTGAGTCTCATGCGTGAGACACATAGGCTGACTTTCCAAAACTCGGTTGTTCCATACGGACTTCACTGGGGCTGGGTCTAGACCTCTCTTAGCTCACCTACAAACACATGAATGAGCGTGAGCAAAAGCCTAGTGAATAATATCAAATAAAGTAAATACATTGGAACATTATGCATCAGACGGCCTCGGGCCCAATTCATTCATGTCAAACTAGCCTTTGGCCTTTTTGAACGTTCATATCAGACTGGCCTTTTGGCCTTATCAAACTTTCGTATCAGACTGGCCTTTCGGCCCTTCCAAATTTGTCATGTCAAACTGGCATTTAAGCCTTTCAAACTTGTCATATCAAACTGACATTTAAGCCTTTCAGACTTTCATTTCAAACTGGCATTTAAGCCTTTCAAACTTGTCATATCAAATTGGCATTTAAGCCTTTCAGACTTGTCATATCAAACTGGTATTTAAGCCTTTCAGACTTTCATTTCAAACTTTGTCCACCATTCAGCATTAATGAACTTTACAAAACTTATGTAGAAGTAAGCAATTGGACAATAACATGTTTCAGATATTACTCACAGTGATCGGTTTGCGGATTTGCCCTGGAGCTCGACCCTACACATTCCATAAACACAAAAGGGTCACTAATAATCCAATCCGTTCTAAATTCACATTTTCCTCTTTAGGCTTTATTCTTATCTCTTTAACTCATTTACAATGTTTAACACATGCCTAAGAGTGCTTGCAAGTGAAAGAGAACGGAAAACGAAACACAG